TGGCTTTTCACATCCCACATAAGAGGATGCTTCAGGAATATTAATTTAACTAGGCCCAGAGACAGCATTCGGGCATCTAAAATTGTGGCACCTTTGATAATTTTAAGCTAACCTTCCCAAACTGTGTGGGATACGAAGAAGGTTATRTACTGCAGCAGAACGGGCTTGCTTTTAATAGCTGTGCTTTTCACCAGAGTTCTCCAGCTATGCAACACATGTCAACAACAAGGGCACAAAACAAACCACCAAGAGGTATGGAAGAGGTCTGAACTCAGCACAGGGACCACATTCTCCTGTTTTCTGAACATGGGACCTTGGCCATGACATGAAATCTCCCTCCACTGCCCAGCTCAGAGCTGGGATAATGGCARTTATTCAGAGGGACACTGTGGAGAGCTGATAAACAAAATTCATAAATAACCTTGGAAATGAAAATGTGGTCCTTAGGCTGGGCAATGTGATCACCAGTCCGTGTGAGGCACAGGACCTGAATAATGGCCACGATTCCAAGGAAAGGGTTGAAGTTTTTCATGAYAAACTGGAGCCCTCTTGGTCAGCAGGCACAGAAGTCTTCCTTGGAAGTCTAAGCTGTGCCTGATGGTAAAAAAGGTCCATGCCATGTATCAGAACCCCAGACAGCTCAGAAAAATGGATGATCAGCAGCAAGCACAGTCACTCTATAACTCTCCTCACAGGGTCCTGAGGCCATTCCCATTTTATCTGCTTTTTGGTAAATTCATTTATTCGGCACTGAGAAAAACACACCAGGAACTCTCCTGCGAGGAGGCATCATTGCAGAGCAGGTGGGGTGGYTTGGGGAGGTTTCCTGGGAGGATTTCACAGCAATTTCAGATCCAGAATGTCCCTGATGATGGATACCTGGAGAAGCAGCCATGAGAGCTCGCTGTGCTCTCCCCAGAGCTCGCCATGGCCACGCTCATCAGAATTGAAATGGGCTCAATGGAGCGGGGCAAATGCACAATTTTACTGCTGATGTGCTGCAAATTTAAATATTTCTATCAGGTACAGGAAAGCCAGGCAATGATGGCAATATCAGGCCACAGCAGGACTACCAGGAGGTGACAGACTCATTGAGCGTCACTTGTTTAATTACGTGCAGGTACTGCAAATGTTGACAAGGAAATCAGAGTTACAGCATGAGGCTCCTGCCCCTCTAAACTGCCTTAACTCCACTGATTTCCACAGATATTGATTTATTTATCCAGGCAAAGACTTTGACTTGCAAACCTCCTTCCAATTTAATTAATGTGCTAAGAGTTAAAAGGGAATGATTTATAAATAGATGGAGAGATATTTTGAGGCCAACCTGGWCATATTCAAAGCCATGAACTTTGCCCAGCCTCCCAGGAAATTCTGTAGGCTTYTCCACRTTTCTCTTGTGTTGCCTGGCTGTGSCTGCTTGACAGGAAAGGCTTGACTTTAAATTTCCATGCCTATGCCTGTACCCTACACCTACAGATGCTGGAAAATCCATAAAGGAAMTCGTGGAGGAATTTGCTCTGGCACAGAGTAGACAAGCCAGCCCTTTGGAGGACAAGAATGGGACAAAAAGCATCTATTCTGATTTGGGACCAAAATCCTCTCTAGGGAGACCCTGGAGGCCTGGCTGTGGAGGGTGAGGTCTCTGTAGCTCTTCATGCATGTCTTAGTGCTCTGATATTTTTGGAGGACTCTACAGGTAATCCAGAGGGACTAATTTTCTACTCAAACACCCAAGTTAGGTGCTGCCAAGCACGGGGCTGACTCATAAACCTCTGTTCCTGCCACTAGGGAGCGACAAAAAATCACATTGCAGCAGCTGCCGGGGCTCCCACTGCGATCACCGAGAGCCAAATAATGCCCCACTTAGAGCCTGCTGCTCAGGGAAGCCTCCCTAATGCTAAGGATGTCCATACATTAGGGATTGTTTCAGCTTAATGGCCCAGCATTATTGACCTACTGGCTTATTACTCTCTCTTTCCATAGTTATGAGGAAAAAAAAAAAAAAAAAAAAAAAAAAAAAGGCTTGGTGAAGATGGCATTTCTTCTGAAATCTTAATGCCAAGCTCTGGCTCTGGTGGATCCTGGAAGCACCGTGCTCTGGAAATGATGCTAGAGGCCATTATCAATTGTCTGGGCAAAGCCTTCCAAGATGATGGATTGTGATGCAGTGACACTGCTGAATGAATGCTGAAAAGAAGAAAGTTCCTATTGATGCACAGGGCTCTGGCAATTAGCAGTGATGGAAGGGAAGAAAATGCTGAGAAGAAGCATGTCAGTAATAATGGCTTCTGGTAAATTATTACATCACTGCAGAGTTTGTCTCARTAACAACTATCCTTAAACAGCAGGAGGATGGATACCCAGTGGTGCATCAGCACCTGAATGGCATTTTTTAATGGTGGCTGGATGTTATTTCAGCTCTCTTTGGAGAATGGGGGCACCCAGCCAGCCTGCATGAATGCGATGCGTGAGACAGCTTATGACATTCARAGCACTGACAGCAGAATGCTTTTCATTTAGGGAACAGCTAGACAGAAACTATTACATTGTTGGAGAGTTATTACCCTCTTGGGCCCAACTTTGTATGCGAAGGAAACCTGTCTTTCACTTCAAGACAAATCACATCCCGCAGCAGTGTGGTCTGGAGCTTTGTGTCACATTCAGGAATTCAGTCCCATGTTCTGCCACGCTGGGCAAATAACTTCAGTGTTCTTGGGTTGCTCAGAGACTGGGCAGTGTGGCAGAAGGTGGGAGATTGTGGGGAAGGCACAGCTGTGCCACTGCCCATTGCTATCTGTCCATCTGCCTGTGAGCCACCTCATTTCTGAGATGGGCAGGGAGCTTCCCAACCTTCCAGAGGTACCCCAGGGATTGACTTCTTCATGTGGGGGAGATACTCCAGGGCTGGCATGATGGAAACCATGTGAGTGCCAGAGGTGCTCCAGCCCTGCTTAACCACTGGAAGCATCTTCAGTCTTCTCAGACAYTTCAAAGACTGCTACCAGCAGAAACAACTTCAAAATAATTGCTTTTTTCAAGCAACTGGAAAGACTGTAAAAGTGAATGACAGCTGAAATGTAACTGCATGTTTGTGATCATTGTTTTCTGGTTTAGACAGAGGTGGCCAGTGGAGGGATATGTGATTTGCTCACTGTCCAGCTGTGCTGTCCACCCAGTGGTATCTCTGGCTTTCCTAAACTTTCTCTGCCCACACCAATGCCCAAAGCTTAGCTGGCCTTGGAAAGAATTGTCCCTCTAATAAGAAGTCAAGATCAAGGAAAAAACAACTGATGGCTTTTGCAACTTCCCAGAAACTCCCAGATTCTGGGAAATTCTTTTGGTCTACCAATGTTTTTGAGCTGCTTGATCATTTAACTCCTGTGAGAGTCACCCAACCATCAGCTCAGGGAAAACCACCAGTTTCCCTACTGAGTGTCAGAACCGATCRCAGGCTGTGCGACAGGGTGGTCAGGGCAAAATCCTGCTCGCCCCACTYGAAAAGCAGAATTTACAGCCCTCGTACCTGCAGTGATTGTTCCTGTAAGATTTAGGGGAGTCACCATGGACCACCTGAGCTAAAGGCAAACTCACCTCACAGCCTTTGACACAATGAATCAGGGAAGGGTGAGGGTACCACTTGAGTCCCGCCGTGCAGACAACGCTCTGGAGGAAAGAAATAAAAATTAAAAAAAAAAAGAAAAGCAACAGGTTAAGACAAAGAAATCAGTGTACAGCAAGCCAGTGTGCTGGCTCCTGTGGCTCTCCAGTACTTAACCAATGAAGTTCAGTTCCTAACACCTCTTGTGCTCTCAGGACCTGGCCGTCCTCCAGGTATTTACAAGAAGTGTTGGACTTGACACTTGCAATAACAGAGCATTTGAGATTAAAATAATATTTGAGGTTCTCCTAAAATGTCATGTCCAATATTTCACTCATGGTGGGGGAACGTGGCAGGGAAAGGCAAAGGCACAGGTCCACTCTTGCTCTTGGGTAGGGGGGAGGWGTTCTAGGAATTCATTTAGGGATTTCTTTGGTGCTGCCAAGTGTTGCTCCCTTTCACTGCCTATAGTACCTGTGCTTCTTGAAGATGGAAGCAGCTGAAGGTGGATATTCAAATATATTTTAGCAACATCTTAAACAACAGCACCTTAAACTCCCACCACACACCTTCAGAATAACCTGAGACAGCACGGCATCATTTTATGCTACATTTTATCCTGATAATTTCTGTATCAAGTCTGTCTATAGAAAAAARTTGGACACTTGGTTTTGGGTAAAAATTATGACCAACCTCCTCAGTGATGATCCAGCCACAGACATGAAAATTTAGATTTCAAGAGTRGATGGAAATTTTGGCTGGTCACTGGAGATAGTGATCCCACACTATGGAGGTCCTGGAGACAGGACATAGGAGATAGGTCCTGGTGCCAGCAGGACATCAGGCACAATGTTCATTTTGGGCCATTGCCCATGAATGAAACACTATAGTGTCCAGCTGAGCAGGGTGAACACACAGGCACTCACCAAAAGTGTGGGGTCAGRGTCAGATGGAGGCCTGGGGAAGGAAGGGATTAACATTTGGGAAGACCCTACACACAGACCATCCCTTCCCCTGTTCATCTGCAGGCTGATTTAATCCATCTGCAGGGGAACCTCAGCTTGTTTTCACAGTTTCTGTCGTTTGAGGCTTACCTGACGTGTGCTAGAGAAAAGGACTTTTATACTATCTGACTGGGGCTGTTTATCTTTCCGATGCTCTTGGATTTTCCACTATTAGTCAAGCCCGGCTTGCCCCACCTGCCTCGCAACAGGGCCTGTCTGTGTGAGCAGAGAARTGGCTGGGGAGGGGAGGATGTTGTTTATCCCCTGGGAGGGGGGCAGGCTGCAAGGTGCGGGGGCCCTGCGGTGTCGCGCGTTCCCCCGGTGCGCTCCTGACAGACAGCTGGAGATTTCCAGGCTGCTGCCTGCCACAAATGGTGAGGGTTCCCCCCCTCCCCTCCTTCTGTTTATTGCACTTCAGAGGGAAAAGAAAGGAAACTTTTCTAGGTTTGAAAATAAACAAGGCCAACAGAGCAGGAGCGGGGATAGTAAAGGAAGCAGTTCAAGAGCGTTTGTACCCAAGAATGAGAACAAAGTGGAAAAACTCAGGCRGTTGCCTCCTGAATCCAAGGCCAGCAGACAATAAGTGGAAGAAGTGCACTTCCAAAGAGCACCTCACATTCCCCTGGTAAGAAGCATCAATATTTACCAAACCTCTCGCTCTGTGTGTGTGYGAGAGCATGCAGAGCGAACAAAAGAAACCCAACAGCCCTGAACCAGGCTCTTCAGAAGGGAGCTTTCCMAGGGAGAGCAATCCCTCACAGAGGATGCACCGACTGCTTTCCTGACCCTTCAAATATTCAAATGCCAGCACCTCCCTTAGAAGAATGGATGGGAGGTGAATCTCTGCWCGGGCAGTGCTCTCTGAGTGCTCTCTCAAGGTCATCCTCAATCCCAAACACAGCCGTGGGCTGAGCATCCTCCAGGCAATGGGAATGCAGCCCCAGGTTGTTCTGCACAGCTCAGGAAAGCCAGGTGACCTCGTGCCAGGTTAATCACTGGGTCAGTGGGACATTCCCATTCCTCTGGAGTGGCACCTGCCAATGGCTTCATACCAGTTCCTTTACCCTCCCCTTGGATGATTCTTTGCCAGCAGAGACCATTAGAGCTAAACTCAATCCTGATAACATTCCTGGAGCTGGAAGCAGAGGGAAGGGCCCTGGGCCATAGTYCTGGCTCCCCTTGCTGGTTTCCCAAGCCCTCAGTTTCCACCACCCAGCCTTTTTCTACCTTTGGACTGCTGCTTTGGTGTGTGCAGCGCACTGGGAGAGAGGATATGGGTGGAGGGACATACTGAGTTAGCAAACCAAGAAATTGGGAATGACTGGGGTTGCTGGGGAGTGTTTTCTGTTTCCTGCAGTGCTAATAGGCAGCACAGGTGCCACAGGGCGCTGCACAAGGCAGCTGAGATAAATAAATGTGTAAAAATCAGGCAAGGATGGGTAAAGGTGGTACTTGAGCACGATCTGGAGGGATCAGTGCACACAGAAAGGTGGGATCTGAAGGCCACCAAAGGATGTGCAAGAGGTGCATGGAAGCGCCACATCCGCCACATGCCAGGCAGTGCCTGGGGAATAAAGCCCATCTGGCCACRGTCCCTGTGAGCCCTGTCCCCTCCCCGTGCTGCCACGTGCTCCAGGCCCTCGTGGTGACATCTGCTGCCCTCCTGGCCCTGCTCCTCTCRTGCAGCAGCACAGCTGTGCAGCCGCCCTCGGTGCTTCCCCAGCCCAGAGACACCACCCTGCCACATCTGCGCTGGGTGCGGGGGCTCCATCTGCTGTGGAGGGACAGGGAGCCGGGCTGGGCTCCCCCAGTAGGCAACAAAGAGCCAAGGAAGCAAATCAAGCTGTCATTTTCTCCTTGTGAGGGAAGACCCAGCGCCTCCGGTCACGGCGCTTCCCTCCGTGCTGGGACTAACACAATGATGTCAACCCTTTGCGGCTGCAGAGGGGATTGGGTTTCCCCCAGAGAGGCCAGGGGAGAGCTTTCCTCCACCTTGGATGGGTCAAGTGTCCCCCCCAGGATGGAGCCCAGGGACTGGCATGTCCTGCTGTCAGCTAACTCGCTCCTCAGGTGCCAAATGGACACCACAATTAACCGTGGGCTTAATGTGTGAGGGGATGGGTCACTGGAGAGGGGACTTGGGGACTGCTTCTTCCTGGATTGGGATCT